GACGGTAGTTGTTTTAATAAATTTGAATCGGATGCAAAACTACTGGCAAGAAAATGCGGTATATCAGACGAATATTTTTCCAAAAGACATAAAAAAGTCAAACATTTTCACGATGAAAAAGCAGATGCTAACAACACTGGAAACTGCCCGCGCCAAAAATTTAAAAGAAATGTTTTCTACGTTGCATTGGATACTTTCATCCAAACACTATCAGAGAGATTTGAAGATTTTTTCCAAATTGCAAACAAATTTATTTGCTTGGAGGCAGACGTTATCTCTCCGTCACAAGATAATATAAAATATCTTAAGGATCTGTCAGCCTTTTATGAATCTGACGTAAATGGAAATTTATTAGTTGACGAGTATAAATCATTTTGCGCTTTGTTTCAACAATTGAAAAAGGAAGAAATTAATCTAAAAACAGATGAGATACTTCCCTATCTTATTTCAAATAAGCTCCAATGTTCATTCCCAAATTTATTTATTATTTATAAAATATACCTAACGATCGCGACGAACAGCGCCAGCGCGGAAAGATCCTTTAATCGACTAAAAAATATCAAATCATATAATCGCTCGACAATGACAGAACAACGTTTAAATGATATCGCAATATTAAACATAGAGATAGATTATGTAAAAAACTTAGATCTTTCCGATGTCTTAGATAGATTCAAAAGCATCAAGACAAGGCGAATAGCAATATAGAAACAAAAAAACAAATTGTTCAAAGTTTGAATTGATTTGGACTTGTGCATGACCGTCCAGTGTCATAATATTATAGAATATTTTTTGTTTAATGTTTATAGTTTATTTATTTTCTGTTTATCGCTTACCGTTTACTTATTTTTTTATTTTTGCTATGAAAGGATTTATTTTTGGTTTTGTTTAGATAATAATAATTTAAATTAGAAGCTTTGTTTATTTAAAAAGGTAATATAATATATGTCGCAACATAAAAAACATACAATGCATTTATTCACCCAATGTCTTTTTCAGCTCAGCTGAAATTCAAATCACGCCGTTTTTCTTGGAATAATCTTGTTCTATCTATCACTCATCAATAATTTTAACAAAACAATTTGTACTCTGATCGATACCATGCCTTATTTTTTATCAATTTTTGACTAAATGCGGAATCGAAAAAAAACCTGACAAAATATATATTAAAAAATATAGGCGCCCCAAACGGACTTTGCCCCCTCCGCCCCCAAACCCTGGCTACGCCACTGTTGGACGGAGTTGTATGACCTCTCTGGATCCAACGATAGAGATGAAGATAATGTAAATGACACAGAGTTGGAAACATTGGAATGAATTGGAACTTGAAATTTCCAAAAAAGTGTTCAACACATTCAATTTGCTAACAATATTTGGTTTTCTGTTCTAATGTTTCGTAAAAATACCGATTATACAGGGCTTTCATTTCAAAACTTGCCACCTACGTTATCAGCGTAAAGAGGCATATTCGTGGAAATCGCCGAGACATGTCAACAAATTTATTGAGGGGGTTTTTTTACGTAAAACTGAACTTTGCCCCTTTAACCCCCTAAGCCCTAGGGCTACAACTCCAAAATTTTCAAATGAGACAGGGGGTCGAGTGATAGATCATTTCAAAGGGCTGGTTAATCTGGACATTTTAATGTCCTATTTTTTGAATTTGACCTCAGTGTCGCAGAATAACACTCATTTCAATGTTTAAAAATGCCTATTTATTCTTGAACACACCTGCTTTTTCATCTGTGGCTGTAATAAAAAGGTAGGTAAAGAAGCAGGTGTGTTTAGGGATAAATAGGCATTTTTAAACATTGAAATTGATGTTATTCTGCAACACTGAGGTCAAATTCAAAAAATAGGACGGCAAAATGTACTGATTAACCAGCCCTTTGAAATGATCTATCACTCGACACCCTGTCTCATTTGAAAATGTTGGGGTGGTAGTCCTCGGGCTTAGGGGTTTGAAGGAGTGAAGTCCAGTTTGACGTAAAAAAACTTCCCCCGCCATTAATTTGTTGACGTGTTTCGGCGATTTCCACGAATATGCCTCTTTACGCAAATAACGTGGGTGGCAAGTTTTGAAATAAAAGTCCTGTATATACATCTGTGCTTGGAGTCATCTTCAAGGCCTTCACCAGTATGTCCTTATTTTAGCGTGTTCACAGGTGCGAAAAATGCTTTTTAACACTTGAAGACATTAAAAATCGGTTAAGGAATCGACTTACAATGGAAAAGTTGGATACGATGGTGATAGTGAACTTAAATAATGACATCTTAGCCAATCTTAGGATTGTTGACTTTTGAAAAGATTCTCATGGAAATGTTCAACTTAAGCCCTCCATTAAAGAAAATATGATCGTTTTGATTGTTTGAAATCATCTTTGAAAAAAAAAAAATTATATAAGAGTTACTTTTCAATTTTCCATTATGCGTTTTCATTCAGCATTTTATTGTTTTATCACTGTTGTTATTATATTATAAGATCACATCTAAGTGTGGGGATTGTAGATTGTAGATTGCGGGGGAGTCGTTTCGGCTTTTCAGCCGCTCAGCACAGCTACCTTTGCAGATATTTTGGACATGACTCTACATCTCAAATTGTCTCCAGGAAGCGTAGACTTCTGCCTGAGGAAGCTATTTTCCTGGGTGTTAGTTGGCCCACTTCTTCTGGTGACAGTGTTGCCCCCTCGAGGAATTTGAGCCTCTTGCAGAATTGGGCTGGACATTCGCAGAGCAGGTGCTCTGCGGTCTCTAAGTGTGGGGATGTGGATGTGCCTCATAATTCCATCAATGTATGGGCCGCTCGCTTAACTAAAATTTCCCGGCCCACTTCCAAAAATTCGTCCAACCCTGCCTTGAAGTTTGAGAAAATTGAAAAAATCCTTTTTTTTGACATTTTATTTAGGTATCTCCCTTATCAGAGGGGTAGGGGGTTAAATCTAGGTTTATTTGACGTCTTTTCAATCACTCTTCGATATTCTATCACAATTTAAGTGAAACATTACCTTCAAGTTTCAGAAAATTGAAAAAATCCTATGTTTTTGACATTTTGTTTGGGTATCTTCCTTATCAGAGGGGTAGGGGCGTTAAATCTAGGTCCATTTGACGTCTTTTTAATCACTCTTCGACATTCTATTACAATTTAAGTGAAACAAAAACTTGAAGTTTGAGAAAATCCTATGTTTTTGACATTTTATTTGGGTATCTTCCTTATCAGAGGGGCAGGGGGGTTAAATCTAGGTTCATTTAACGTCTTTTCAATCACTCTTCGATGTTCAATCACAATTTAAGTGAAACAATACCTTGAAAATTGGAAAAATAAAAAAGCAACTTATTTTTTCAACAATTTAAATTTTATAGTAAATTGGCGAAGAAGTAGTGAAATAACCCTGGGGAAAAATGTATTTTGTCCTTATTTCAAACTATTTAACCATTTAAAAGAAGATATATTGTGATTTTGCATTTTAAAATAATCATCACCAGTAATGAACTGGTCGACTGTAAAATTTTTGTTGCTGGCTCCTTCTTGGCAACAACAAGGAGCTCACTTCACATGGGTTAATGACATTACTTCAAGAAAATAATTTGAGTAACACCTCTGTTACTATAACCCCTAATGGGTCCTATGATTGAACGTTTACGTTAAAATTAACATAGACCTGTTATGTTATGCTAACAGGGAATAGATAACATATAAAATAACAGTGGATGTTATATCGGTATGATTGACGAAATCGATAACAGAAAATGTTAAGCTGGCTGTTAGGAATGGAAGAAAGTATTTGTACCTAGCTTCACTTTGGTTTCAAAAGTGACGTTTTTCTTGAAATAACAATAACAAACAATTAAATTACATTTTTTTGCAGCTCATTTTACATTTTATTCAATTTATTGGGGCGAAAAGATTATCTAAAATAACTGTAAAACAGTGTGGGGACATTTCCAAATCATATTAATGCCCTGGGTGTTTTCTCGCGTTCACTTTTTTGAAACTGGTTCAAAACAGGTTTGAAATAGGGTATATTCTCGCCATAAACCCATGACGTCACACAAAATTGGTTCAAACTGTTCCGAAATACAATCCAATCCATATTTTTGAACCATTTTCTCACGCCGAGAAGTTATGAGGTCATTGGGAAACTGTTTCAAACTAGTTTTGAAAATTTTTTCAAAACTTCGAGACGCAAGAAAACCCCTCTGATGAGTGGACATCATTTGTACACGAAAATAAAAGCACTACTACAACCATTGCCTTATATAAAATGAAAAACAGCTCCAACTACCTACTAAGAATTCAGAATAAACTTTTAGAATTTAGACCTTCAGTTCAACTGGAATGGATGAAATCCTTGGTCTTTGAGGAATATTGCCTTATTTTTGCAATTATAAACTGCACCGATTCTTTTAGAACTTTTGGAAGTCTAGTATATTTAGTAATAAAGCCTTATCAGGAGTTTCAATTGACCTCTGGTATGCCTTCTTTGAGTGTCCAATTCAGTCCTCAAATAGTGAATTAATATTAAAGTTTTGTACCTCATAATTATGATTAACATAAAATAGCAATGAATCTTATAACCTATAGGTACCTCCTAGTTTGATAATTGATTCTCTTCTTGTATTATGTAAATTAATTACCACGTCATTCAAAATAGGATCTCCAAACAAATAAAAAAACATTGGTAACATGAACGTTAAGCACTCAACGACATGTTATTCAGGGCTGTTGAGGAGATATGTTAAATTAGAACATAACAGGTGGGAAATAACAGTAATCTGTTATGAAAAACTTTCCATCATACGAACTTGCATCGTTACTGTTAAAACTCGGCCTAACATGTATGTTACGGATAACGTAAACGTTCAATCATAGGACCCATTAAAAGTAAGGTTGTCATCAGTGACGTCACTGAACTGATGTTACTTTAAAAAAATTATTATATGTAGTAAGTACACCTCTGTTACTTTAGCCAGGGCCAAAATGTTTTACTTAAACTTAACCTTACAAAGGCTTCTTGATGGTGAATTATTGCAGAAAATCCAAAGCAAAATTCAGAATTTGCACAGAAAGCAAAACACGATTAACAATTAACAAATCACAATTAAATTATCAAAAAAGCAAAACATGATTATTTATATTTTTTCATCATTGCTGAGTGTGAGTGAGGGAGTTTTCGCACTTCATCATTTGACATTTAATGGCGATTTCGATTCGATTGCACTCATTGCACTTTCTAGTTGACGTTAAGCAAATAAAAGTGCGCATGAAGTGCAATCAAATCGACATTGTTTAATTTAAATCAAAAACAAGTGGTTCATGTACCAGTCGCGCTTAACTCAAAAATGAGTTCGGCTTACTCACTCCGTGCACTCCAAGTGACTCCATTCGCACTCCAGCCGTTCGGGTATTGCTTTTCGGCGTATAAGGGGTGACTCAGTTAGCGTAAAAGTGAAAAAAATAATGGAAACTGGAACGTTGAAGGGTCACGGTTGTCTGTTGGAGTGCGTTCACAGTCGAACGCCGGACGCTCACCGAGTGCACACCGAGCGCGTCTTTTGCAGGGTGAAGTCGTTCACGGATCTACCTAATTCACCCGGTTAAAATATTTGCTCCGTTCACAGAGCCATGATAAATTTACCCGGTTGTGTTCTACAACTTTTTAATCCACTCTGAGACATGGGTAAAATTTGTCGCGCAGGCGTTTCACAAGAATATTTGAAATTTGATAAACAATACTGTTGGTAATCTTTCTGGGCCATGCATTGCTGACTTCAACTGGTTTTCAAGTTTTCCAGGAAGCCAGTTGAAAGCTTCTCTGGAAACTCTAAAATTTTCCTGAAACTCCTTATCGCTATAATTGCGTATTGTTGCCATAAAATTATCCTGTCTTTCAATATGCCTTTTTTCAGGCTTGAACATAAACTGCTAGCGCTAGCACATGCAGCTTGTGCTACAGCATAGCTGACTTCTTCCTCTGTATCAGACGAATCCGAAGAAGTTTCAATAGTACTTTCAAAAAATATTATTCCCGGATCCATCTCGAAACATTCGAAACACAACAAACAAAGTAAGAGTCAGCCAATACAAGCTCTTGGCAACAATCAACAGATACATTATGTAGATATACCCTAATAGCACAGAAACGTTTCAAAAAATTATCCTATCGGACGTCAGTAAAAATAACTGAGAATATCCAAAGGTGCATTTTTATTTGGTGCAAATGTAACTTCAAACGTCATATAGACGTCGAAAATGAGCGTTTCAAAAATGCTTTAATATGAACGCTTAAAAACGAAAAAGGACGTATTTCAAAGATCTCTATATAAATAACATTCACTGGACTTCCTTCAAAGTATCCAACACCATCCAATTGACTTATTTTATAGGTAGTGCAAATATCACAGTTACAAACAACCTTTTAAAAACGTCTTATTCGAACTAATTTCCGGACGTGTGGACGTGGGATACGGTCCAACGGTATTCCCGAAAACGACCAAAAGAAACCTTTATAAAACGTCTCTCATGACTTTTCATGAAAACATACTTTTATGAACTCATAGAAAACATTTTGACGTTCTTTAATTGTTCCCAACAGAGGTTTTGAAAACAACTTAATCAAACGTCTAAAGAACATCCTTTCTTTACCTTTTCAAAAACACTCGGACATGGACATTACCACGTGCAGAAACAGTAGTTTTCAAAACTTTTCTTTCAGAACTTTATGCTTATGGACGTTTTGTGAATATATTTTGAACGTCTTTTTTCGTCGTTTTTAAAAATGATTTTGTGCAAACGTTTATACAACGTTCTGTTTTAGTCCTCGGATGTTTCGACGTTAAACGGACGTTAAAAAAAAAAAACGTTCATCGTACCTTTTGTGTCATTAGGGTAAGTAGGTACATTTCCAATAAAATTGATGGGATGTTATTTAAGATATTTTCGAGCGTTGAATGCAGCAAAATCTTCAAGTAGATGATTCATTTTTAATTTAGCATCGATTTCATGCTCAATAGCAATCATTGCTAACATGCTCACTGCTTACCTTTTCTTGGCCGAGGTGATCTTGAATACGTTTTTATCAATTTTAATTTAGAGAAACTTTTCTTAACACTTGTAAGAGTTATGGGCAATGGCAATAAAATTCTGAGGATCTGATGGCCACAACAACATTCGGTGCAATATCCAGTTGGAGTGCTAATTTTAACACATCAAAAGGAGTTTGATTGGGCTTCGGTAACGTCTATCACAGATAGTTCCACTGGCGCCGACTACATATGGGGGCATCGGGGCAGGTGCACCCATGAGCAACCTCTCATGGGTGCGGAGCACCCATGGGAACCTTCGTGGGAAATACGGAAGTACAAACGTTTTTAATGCTCATTCCGTTCCATGTGGTAATATCCAGAATCATGTAATTTAAATGTACACAACTTTGTATAAGAATTATACAAGTGGTGTGTGTGTGGTATTCTGTCCATATGTCCTTCCGTTATTTGTGGTCAGTTCTTTGCTCTATTACTTTATGTTGCTATTCTCCATTTCTATTCTTTGTGATAATAATCGGAAGGTCCGGCCTACAACGGGAAGTCTGGTGAATGCGCGCGCCGTTTAGTGGCCGTATGCCATATAATTTAGTTTTGGGCGCGGGTAGGGATGGTAATGATATATCGATGTTTTGTAGAAATCAAAATATTATGTATGTGAGAAAGCTTTAGGGACTTGTTATCCTTTGGTACTGATCCTTATGTTATCCTTTTTACCTGGTCGATTACCCCTGGTTGTGTAAATAAAGTCGCCTAGATAGACCCTATGGCGTGAAGTGAGTGACCCTGTCTTTTATGTTTTGATAAAAAAAATTCAAGAATCTTCATTTTTATTTGAGACAATTGACCTTTTGTTTAGACGCCATATTGCGGTGCGCGAACATAGTTGCCAAAAGAAGAAAACAAAAATTGTTAGCGGGCTGCCAACATCAAAAACCCAGAAGTCATTTATTTTTATTTGTCAAAAAAAAATGAATGTGTTACATGAACTAATCTACGACAACCCTTTACTCCAAGTTGTGACGTATTCGATAACAAAAGTATGAACCCTCGAGAAACGAACCTTAGGGCCATATTCTCTCTGTAGTTCATAAAGCCTGGCTTAGTGGAAACGCTTGGCTTTTTGTGTGACAAAGCCGAGCTTTTCCACTAAACCAGGCTTTATGAACTACGGAGAATATGGTCCTTAGATATTTTATTATTTCTATTCTGCCCAATACAAGCTAAAATTGATGGCTTTTCATTTCAAAAACATTCGTAATAGGCGGCAAATTTGAATTTTAGATATAATTTATTCAGTAACTTTTGTTTTTAATGTTGACAGAACGCTAGTAATTTTTTTTTTCTTCTTTTGGCAACCATGTTCGCGCACCGCAATATGGCGTCCAAACAAAAGGTCAATTAGTGCCGGTACTTTTGCTCTCATTTGACAGCCGTTAAAAATAATCAGGTGTTTGAATGTGCTGTAACGACATCATACATAGACCTTGGCCCATGCAAAACTTTGACGACGTATCAAATTCGTTAATCGAGAGCAAAAATATTGGCCCTTAGGTAACCAATTAGGCAATTCAAACCACGTGACAATCAAGATGGCGTGGCGGCCACACATGAGCCAAAAAACACAAAAAATATCTAGCTTCTGCCCGATTCAATAGTTCAGGTACCTAGTCAACAAATTTTTTATTACATAATCAAAATCAAAGTTGCAAACAAAACTCTGAGCAAAATAATTTAAAATACGCATAAAAACATAATCAAAACAAACTTGCTTGGCCGCCACGCCATATTGAATTTTCCATTTTGACAGATGGATTGATTGCCTAATATGGCCGTTCAGGTCAAATTGTGGTGACGTTCATAAAAAAAGCATTTCTGTTCAGGGCCCTTGTTGTAGATACCAAACATGACAATATGACAATGCCAAACCTAAATGTCAAACCTAAATGTCCAGAATGTGACAAAAAATAATATTTGTGCGTTTTTATTCTCATCGGTGGCTTCACCGATGAATTAGCTATCTTTGTTTAGTGAATGGAAAATGACAATAACCGACATAGAATGGTGGATCCATCGGTAAAATTTGATGAGAATAAAAATGCAGGGTATTTTATTGATTTCTGTCAATAACCATGTAAACAACACGGTGTCTGACCTGAACTTCCATATTAGGCAATTCAAACCACGTGACTTTCAAGATGCCGTGGCGGCCACACATGGGCCAAAAAACAGAAAAAAATATCTAGAATCTGCTCGATTTATTAGTTTAGGTACCTAGTCAACAAATATTTTATTAAATAGTCCAAATCAAAGTTGCAAGCAAAACTCTAAGCAAAATAATTTGAAATACGCCTAAAAACACATTCAAAACAAACTTGCTTGGCCGCCACGCCATATTGAATTTCCCTATCTGACAGATGGATTGAATTGCCTAATTGAATTTCGTTTGACAGGTCATGAGATTGCCTAATAATAGAGAGTTATTGGAACTAATAAATACTGCCTCGCAGTATTAAGGATCTACGTTATTTTATTAGTGCATCAGCACTATTTTTCCAAGAAAAAAACAGTTATTGGAAGACTGTAGTAGGTGCTAGAGTATTACCTTATTTTGTATTCATAATTTTGACAGATGATAGCTATGTTTATAAATTTCAGCCTCAAAAAGTGTTTATTTTTGTTTGTGATTTTCTGCTGATACTTATTTTTTGATGTAACCCACAGTAAAATGGAAAACTATTGTAAAAAATAAATTTTCTATTTAAAATTACGTCATCGTCGAAAAGCAAAACGTCAAAGTCGTCCAAAATGTCAGAAATTTGAAATAAGGGAAATTTACTGCCCCGCACTAACCATACACAAATAAAGACAAGCAGTAACCTTATTAAGAGAATCTTTATTTATGGACCCAAATGCGCATGCGCAGATGTCAAAATAAGGCTAATTTAAATACTGCTTGTCCTTATTGCACGTCCAATAACTCTCTAATAATTTTTATTTGTAACACATAATTACATGCATCATAGTTTACATAAATATTATATTAAGTTAATTGTAGTGGTTGTATGCACTATGTACAAAGCCAACCAAACCCAAAAAAAAAAAAAAAATTTCATAAACTATATCGATATATTTTAATCGATATTATACTTTCGATATATCGAAAAAAATATCGATATACCTAATAATCTTTTCGATATATCGAAACTTTTATAATAATAGTTCATTGGTTGACATAGTGACACTCTGACAGTTGATAGAGGCGGCTAGAATGAAACAAAACGTCAGTTAGGGCCTGTGGGTAGCAATTAAATGAGAAATGAGGAAAAGAGATTTTCCGCATGATTAAGGAACGTTATTTTTTCACGACCGTGCGGAGAAGTACTTTTCCGCACGCATTTCAAGACATGAAAGTACCAGGGTGACTTAACATTGCATAATTATTTTACTTTTCTGCACTAGTGCCTAAATGCGTGCAGAAAAAAGCACATCTCGCACGCCCGTAGAAAAAATTCGAGCTTCACCCTCCCCCTATAGGCAAATTTATAAAGTTATTCTGCACCCATGAGGACTTTCAAAAGTCGGCGCCTCTGGATAGTTCATCAGCTAATTATGCCACATTGACATCGAAAGAATTGTCATGCATGAGAACATACATATTATAAATTTTTGCAATATTCCGATAACTCTTCTAGATGAAGTTTTTTGTAGTAAATGTATATCATATAAGAAGTTCAAATGCCCACTGTGCTGGTTCAATTGTCCAAAATGACACCTATCCCATAAAACAGAGTGTTTGGTACATCGATAGGAAGTTTTTAATGATTACTCATTGAAAACTTCCTATCACTAGTTGGGGCCATTTTAACCTTTCTCAATTTTTTTTCCGATATACCTGATATGCACTCTTTCGAAAAACTCGGAAAGAAAATCCGAATAATTGATACAAAAAATATGTAGCCCAAGTTAGGTGTTAAAATAAGTACATTGATTCAAAATATCTAAAATGACGATATCTCAAAAAACGGCGAAACTTTGCATGAGGGTAAATATGGTCAAACAGCTTCCAAATGACCCCAACTATCACTCATTGAAATCTTCTATAGATGTACCAAAAACCCTGTATAATTGGTTCGCTGTTCGATTTATATTTCTTAATTTTTTTTAAGTCGTTGGTTTCATTTTCTATTAATTTTTTTTTGTTGTATGGTATGAACTTGCCGCCCCTGGATCGTGCCGCCCTGGGCGGCCGCCCATCTCGCCCCCCCCCCCTTAAGCCGGCCCTGGTTTGACTTCTTTTTCGACTTATTCTGACAAGATCTCATTCAACGCATTTGAACCAGTGTATCATAAACAGTTTTTGTAATAATTTTCAGCAATATTGATTGATATTGATTGATTATTGAGGTTAGCTTAAATACGTCAGAGTCAGACCGCGTTCAGTAAATTGACGATTTAATTATCTGTCACCCACAAGCGGCGCGCGCAGCAGAGGTAAAATGAGAAAGGTCCATTGAATTACAAAATCGGCAATGCCATATTTCTAAAGGCTTTATTACTTTGCGTTCGGTATTTTGCTCAAAGAGCAGAGCGACCAGGGCGTACTGAAGCGGAGCAGTAATCACGTGACTAGCGAGCGCATAGAGCAGTTAAACGCTGTATCATAGCCCTTTTAATTTTAATAAACGAACGAGAATGAGCTTGCACCAAGCACACTTTTTTATTAAACGAACGGTAAATTCAAGCTCGAAGTAAAGTCTGTTTTTTTTTTAAAGATAAAAGTCAAAATGACATTATGTTGGCAATACAATGTAAAATTGTCAAGCTTTCAAATTTTTTATGTAGAAAAGGCTTGTGTTGCCAACATAGTTACTAAATTTTTGACTTGGGGAATTATCTTTAAAAAAAAAAACACACTTTACTTGGATCATAATACCGAACGCACGTTTAAAAGAAATCTGTGAAAAAAATTATGAAAAATTACAAAGTGGACCATTTGATGAAGCGCTCCAAAGTTATCAGTTGGGACACCCTGTATATTTCGACAATTTGATGAAAACGTTAACTATAAAGCTTCCCAAAAAATTGCGCCGTTGGAACTATATTATTTATCTTTTTTGGCAAGGACGAAGGGCTCCGAAAATTGTTCTGCTTCTAGCGCTAAATATCCTAAATCCGCCTCTGAAATTTGCAATGGTTAATTTTTAAAGTTGTAAGAGCCCTGTTTCCTTCTGATGATTAAATATCTGTTTCCGCCAGTTAGCAGTTTTCTTTCTTTGTTATTTATATTTCATTCCTGATTTACCAACATCGTAGATCAAGCATCAAGCTTGGCAACGTTGTACTGGGAGTGCTGCTTGAAGCACGAAGAACGAGAGACTGAGAAAATGGACAATTAGACTCTCAGCATCAGCAGCGCCCACCGTACTGCCAGAAAACTGGTCTATATTAGAATCATTTTTCATTTAAAATTCAATCAGTTTTTATCAATTAACTAAGTAATTCTTGTTACCATCAGCTAGTCCATTATTTCAACCTCAATTCAGCAAGAAATACAGTCCAAAACAATATAGATTGATCCATTTTTTAAATAATAAAAAGAGTTTTCGGTTAAATTGAAATCTCCTCTCCACTCCTCTAAAACGATTCAACACGGTGACAATTAAAGCCAAGTTCCTGCTGACGGTAACAAATTGGTGGTTGAAAAAGCTTCCAATTATCCATATACCAAAAGATAAAAGAGGATTTATCCATGATAAACTAATTTAAACAATTATTATAGAGTCGTAAAAAATATATATTTATTAGAACAAAATTATTTTAAGGCACAGATTTATAACATTAAAAAAATAAATTACCAAAATAAATCAGCCAATTAGTACCAAAAGCTTGCAATGCAATAAAGAATTATTTTTAAAAAATCGTTTGGCTAATTTACCTGCTAGATAAAAAAAAAAACGTAAAATTTCAAGGTTCGTTAGTCAAATACTCAGTTGAACCTTGCAAATAAACTTCGATAAAGTTCATAAACTCATTGAAATAAGTTCCAGAGTAATAACTAGATATAAATATCAATTTCGCAATATTCATCAACTTCTGGATTTTTTTGATCATTCATATCATCAAATTAATGTTCTTGGTAAACATCTACAAATTTCCTAAATGGATTAGAATTCTCTTCAGAATAATTATTGCTAACACTTGTGGGATTTTCCTTTCGATTACCATGCAAAGGTTCCAAAGAAAGTAGATCGTTTTTGGAATAAACGAATTTGGATTTTGGCTCAACTGAAAAAATGTTATTGTAAAAACCCTGTCAACTCTTGAATTCCCTTATCTTTACTTGTCTCCGCAATATTCTCAGCTTCAATTTTTTGATCATCTTCAAGTTTTTTTAAATCAATCGTATCCAATTGTTCATTGAACCCTTGCAAACACTTTAAAATGTCTTCCAACAAAGGCTCCTCTTCAACATTTCCGAGTTGCTTCAGTAAAACTTCAATTTCGTTTAACAATTCCAGTTCATCGACATTTTCTTTGCAGTTTTGTTTTTTAGAAATTGTATCTGAGAGTAAGTCTGAAATGTTTTTATTGTTTGTAGATTTTTTTCTGTTGTGCGTTTTCTTAGAGGCCTCAATTTCAGGATTAATTTGACTGTTAGTAGGTGTAACATTATTTTCCAAAGTAACTGGAACAATTATCAAATCTATTGGCTTTTCAAAATTTACCGGGTATAAAAGTGGTTTAGCATTTTCCTTAGTTAGTCCTGTAAAACTGAATCCATTTAGGTTGAAATTATTATTAGAACAAGCAGCTTCATCTAGTTTTTCCTTAACGTCTTTGTTTGTAGTAATAATTTCATCTACTTCCTTATTAATTTTTTTCAAGTAATTTAAACCAACATTGTAAGGCACCTCTTTGGAATAATACAGTTTTTGGACTAATTTTTCAAGTTCAAGGAAAACTTTATTTTTCAGGCTTCCAGAATCATTTAAATTTTCTTGTTTTGTTGCAGTAGTTGCGATGGAAGATTGAGCGTTTTCAGTCATATTTGTTGCGATATCACAATAATTGGGGCTTTTTGGTTTTGATTCTTCAAGTGATTTTGATACTTTGGAACTCAAATCTGGAATTATAATTAAGTTGACCTGAGTAAGATGCTTTTTTGATTGGCCAAAGGGTACTTGAAAAAACGAAAAATCTTTTGAGAACTGGAAATATTTCTTCAAATTGATCCGTTAAGTAACAAGCAGTCCAATAGACAAGTCCATTTTCTTTATTATCTTTAATTTTGTCTGTATCTTTCTCAATTATTGAATTTATCTGGTTTATCTACAGGTATACATATATGATTCCAAACATCATGGGAAACAAAAGCCATTTACACCAAAAACAATTTGCTGAAGTTTTGGACTTTTTCAAATAAATGAGAGATTTTTCGTCATACCTTTTTAAAATCTTGTATTTCAATCATAATGTATAGATACTTTACCTGGTTCCAAGTCCTCTTTTGGCGCTTGTTGCTGGTTTTCCGAGAGAATGTTTTGTTGGCCAAGTTCCAAAAACCTTGGAGCAAGTTTCCTAAAATTTAAAACAGTTTCAATAGTGAAATAAGAATGCCAGAATGTTTAATGATTTTTTTGAAATTGCTTGTGCGATCATTTTGGAAGGTTTCTATAACTGCTGAATGATGATGAATAGAAAAAGATTCATCAACCCTTGTTTACTTACGATTCTTTAGATTTTTTGGGCATGGATTCACTCACAACCTCTTGTTTGCTCTAAAAAAATAAAATTCGATAGAATCTTGTTGGTTGGGTGTCAAAATAAATTATTGTGTATAGGGTATCAAATTATAAAGTACCACCACCTTGTAACTTTTTGATTTTTGATCGTATATAAAAAAGTTACAAGTGGTGGTACTTACTGGAACATTACAATATTTCTCGAGCCACAATTCAGCTGCCTTTTCATGGTCTAAACTAGTATAGTGTCCGACGGATAGTTCAGTTGTAAGAAATTTAGTTTCACATATATAGCAATAGTCAGAGTACATCCGATATTCCAAACCATTTGCCAATGTTTTACAAAATGGACTGTATTTTCCTAAAAATATAACAATAAATCACATTGCATGTTAGTTTTATTTCCAAATACCGTTGATAGGAGGATAGCCTAAAGTTGCTAGATTGCTATTGTGGCGTTCAGTTTTTAAATGCTCCCACAAGTCTGCTTTGCGTTGCATGAGAAGGCAACAAATAGAACAATAGCATTCAACATTTCTAAAAATAAAAACATCAGGTATAAAATACAGGCTATAGAAAGTTAAACACAAAAAAAAAAAGATAAAACGTAAAAATAGCTTATAATCCATAATCATTTAAAAAAATATTTTTGAACATCCTTCAATTCCAGTTGAGTCACATTATTCACTCAGATTGTTATTTGACAATGTGACCTTAGGCCATTATTAGAATCTTTGGGTTTAGATACAATTAGTAGGAGTGTTATAATTTTTATGTCATACCAATACATTATTGTGTTTTTATACCTTAGATACCATCTACATAATTCATTATGGCCCGCGCGGGCATAAAGACGCAAAAAACAGTCTTCAATTAACTTATTCTTTATTAACAAAATATAAATTTACGCTGATAAACATATTATTTTTGCCAAAAAATTATGATGTTTGCATTCTGATGACAATTTGCGAAGTGACACTTTTTTCCCAGGTATTTATTATTCACAACCAACTGGTATGACATAAAAGTTTGTATGCACCACAGGTACTAATAGATATACAGGGTGTCCCAAAAAGATACCGACAAACTTTAAGGGGTAGTTAGGGACATCAAAACAAGCATTTCTGTTTATATAAACATATGTCCGCAAATGAGCCATTTGGGCTGTAGAGCAAAAAAACTGTTTGATACTTTTATTCTTTGCAATAATTAAATCACTGTTCATTTATTAATTTTGCTTTATTAACTAATAAATTATGGTTTGCAATAATTGTTCAAAATGTTGATCATTTACTTCAATGCAAAGATTGCACCGGTAGGAATTTTCGAAATATTTTTGATAAAGAAATGTTTTTGCATTTTAAAAATAAACAAAAGTGCGACCAAAAATGTTTAGCAAATTATGCTGGTGGCGAACTTAATAAAAAACCGAGGAAAAAAGTCTTTAATTATTTGCTCGATTATTTGGGTATGATTTTAATAGTTTTTTTGCTCTCCAGCCCAAACGGCTCATTTGCGGATACATGTTTATATAAACAAAAATGCTTGTTTTGATGTTCCTTACTACCCCTTAAAGTTTGTCGGTATCTTTTTGGGACACCCTGTATATACCCTCGGGCGACTTACGAACCCTCGGGCCAGAGGCCCTCGGCTTTGTAAAACTGTCGCCCTCAGGGCATAATCATCTACTTAGTACTTAGTACATAAATAACTAAACTGGTCAACATTAAGTTCGGACCATTCAATTTTGTGCCCTATTTTTAAACAGCTGCAACTTTTTTAAAAATAAATATTTTTGAACGCGGTTTGCGGCTTTCAAAAGCGCGTTTCTCCTAGATTAGGCTACATGTCACACATTCTTGGTTGGAAAGTTATTATCATGATATACGGGGTGATAAACAATGTCATGCAAAAAAGCAAAAATTTCGTGTGACACTTTGGCAAAAAAATTTTTTAGTTGCTACAATATGGTTCGTTACTAAGGTAACATCAATATCTCTAGAAGTTTTTGTCACTTTTTGTATTTAGGCCCTTTGGCCTTAGATACACTGATAAACATCAAATTTTGGTTATGCAATCTTTGAAATGCTATAATTCGAAAACGAAATGACAGATTTTCACGAGCGCTTCAATAATATTTCAAATTCAGAAAGCCTATTTCATGTAGATTTTCTATGACCTGAGAAATTTACGCAAGGTTCCAGTTTTAACATCATACCAGGCCAACAATAGACAAATTGAGGTATCCAACACGAAAACCTTAAACACTGGGTGAATTATTGGACGTAAAAAAAAAACACTATAAATGCGCACAAAAAAAAAATCAACTATAGAAATTTTTATAAAAAATTTTCACAAATACGAGATTGTCGTCCACCAGGACAAAATCGTCTCCAAAGTTTTGTGGAAAGGAATAATAATATCACTAATACAGCCTCGATACCTTTCCGCATTCATCGATTCCCTCAATTAAACAACCAAATCCGGTCTCCCATTCATCATAACACCACCCTTAACAACCACACCGGCACCTACAAACAGTTCCCTTGCATCCATGTTTCCTTCCAGATATCGTTCATTTCTCCCTCTCCATACTAAAACTCATCCATCACTTCCACATAAATTAAACCTACATTCATCTGTGAACATGCACCTAGTCCATTCTGCTATTAGCCGTATTCTTCTGCCATCCACGCTCGTGAAGTCTACGTCTTATGGTTTGCGTTGATATCCTTATGCCACTTGCTGCTTGAAATTTCTGGCAGTGTTTGATGGCAATAAGGGTTCTACTCCGTGTTTCATTACGAGCAATCAAACGATCCTGCCTTGATGTTGTTTTTCTCGTTCGTCCGATAACTTGGACTGCCATAAGCTAGGTTTCACTGGCTAGTACCCTTTTCGGCCTTTTCACACTCGGAATTAGATAGGTATGCGTATGCGTCTTTTCTTGATAAATTTTATGGGCTCAAACTTACCTCACAACATTTTTCAATTCATTTTGGCCAAGTTCAACCATTTGGTTAAATAACATTTATTGTCCGTCGTTTTTAATCTGACACTTTCCGTATGAGGAGCGAGGGGGTGAAGCATATGACAAAAACAGATGTGACGTCAGGTGATTTTTGGCATTATAATGTTGGGAGTCACCAGCTTACATTCCTTTGGAGTATCAGATTAAAATCGACAGACTGTAACTGATACAAGATAAAATTTGCAGTTGACACAAAATGTCATGCCATAGAGTTTCATGCTAAATAGGGTTCCATGACAACATGGTCCATCGTTGTTATGGAAACCTATTGCTATAAAGGATTCCATACACCACCGGCGAGATTTTCCATACCGTTAGCGATTTTATTGTATTCTATCCTGGTATAATCTTAAAACTGAAACCTTGCGTAAATTTCTTAGTTCATAGAAAATCTACATGAAATAGGCTTTCCGAATTTGATGCCCTCGTGAAAATACGTCATTTCGTTTTCGAATTATAGCAATTTGAAGATTGCATTACCAAAATTTGATGTTTAGTTGTGTATCTAAGGCCAAAGGGCCTAAATCCAAAAAGTGACAAAAACGTCTAGAGATATTGATGTAACCTTAGTAACGAACCATATTATAGCAACTAAAAAATTTTTTTGCCAATGTGTCACACACACGAAATTTTTGCTTTTTTGCATGACATTGCTTATCACCCTGTATATCATGAAAATAGCTTTCCTACCAAAAATGTGTGACATGCAGCCTAATCTAGAAGAGACACGCTTTTGAATGCCGCAAACCGCATTCAAAAATATTTATTTTTAAAAAAGTTGCAGCATTTTAAAAATAGGGCAAAAAATTGAATGGACCGAACTTAATGTTGACCAGTTTATTATAATTTGTAGTAAGTTTGACAATGTTACTCAAAGAGAGTGGGAGGGCTATAAATGCGAGCAAGAGTTACCATCCATGAAAGATTTAAATAAACTAGTTTTTTAAACAGAAACGTGAAGTGTTGGAAAAGTTGAAAATAACTAATGAGGAAAACCACCTATTTAAAATATTATTTCTTCAAATCTTAATTTTTTAAAAAAAGGTTTACTGAATAAAAGTAAATGTTGCAACCATGTGCCCTCAAGTTTAGGATTGAACAAGCGCGCCACAGAAAACGAAGGTACCGAAACCAAAGACGATACAAGAGAATACGCAACTAGACTGGAGAACGAGCTGGACTGGTCCCTTAGAAAACGTGTCGCGTGTCTGATTATTCATTATCAATTTTCATTTTTATTTTGCAATAAAATTGATTGTTCAATCCAATTTGTTATTAGTGTGTGTGTAAGAAGTGTTCACAGTTTAGTTGATTAATTATTATTTTGTTTGTGAGAGTTCAATTTATATAAATATCATTTTTCCCATTTTTATGTTTTTTTTGTTTGTTTATAAATTTTTTTTTATAACATGTGCATTATTCATGTATTTAACAAAAATCGCTTCATGCTGTAAACAACACCGATAAGGAAGTAAATTAAAACCTAAGAAATTATGTGCTGTTTTTTTGTGTAAGAATTTTGATTTTTGTGTATTTAGAGCGTGCATTAGGGCCTTGTTGAATTTACTAACATTTTCCTACCCAGACGAGAGAATATCCTAACAAAATGAAATAATCAATCTAGAGATATTGGCTCAAAAACAACTATAGCTGAGTAGCTTCCCGTATGGGACCTCAGTACCTGCTGGGAAACTGGCTAACTAACCAAAACTCTTCAGTATTGAATATAGGTAGTGTTGATTGTATTTAGTGTGTGTAATTTTAGCACAAGAACAGGGGCGGTACCTAATTTAAACTTTTATTGACTTAAATTATTGAATTTTTGACTCACAATTATTATTAAAATGACACAGTATGTTTCGATTTTTGAGAAATGTTAGATCGAGGGTTTCTCTGCCGTGCTCTTTCCCTTCGTTAGTTCCAGGATTGAAACGGTACGATTTACTTCAATAATAAAGTAAAGGTTTCACAAATTTTTCGTTTCTTTTACATATCACAACTTCCCTTAAATTTCCCGAATATTTGCTATGTCGGGCGCATGTCCAGTAAGTAAAAATTGAGTAAGTTTCCACAACGTAGGTCCTATTTCTTTTTCATTTCGTTTTTCAGAATATTTGTTTAAAAGCAGAGCTGGGAGTAACGATTAAAAAAAGTTACTTTACTTTAACGAGTTACTGAAAGTAACGCGTTACTTGGTAACTTCGTTACTTTTCAGATTGATTGATAAGTAACTGTAACGACGTTACTTTCCTGAAGTAACGCTGGAAGTAACGCGTTACTAGTTACTATGAAAGTAACTCGTTCTCTGAATTTGTTTAGCTTCTTTACAAATAATTGACGAGTGAGGAAAAGGAAAATAAGTAATCCAAAAACTTTGTACGTCAAATAAAATGTTGGTAGTACAGAAAATTTCTTTTGAAAGCTCAAAATAATCGTTTTTGGGCGTACCACGCGCCGCCTAAGGACACTATATGCAGACACTGGGACACTTCAAAGAGCAGGTTTGTCCAAAATCAAGTGCTCTATTCAGTCGCTTAATCCTTAATCCGTTTGAATTTTGCAAAAATACTCTTCCACATAGTCGGACTCACAAACTAAAAACATATTGGCATTTCGTATAGGTCTTATTTGATTGTTTGGACTGCTGTGTTGGTGAGTCAAATTAAAGAATAACGCAATTTTCGACGTAAATAGTTATTTTTGAAGTAACGCGTTACTTTAAAAGTAACGAACTACTTTTAAAGTAAAGAAGTTACTTTCAAAGTAACGAAGTTACAGTAACGCGTTACTTTACAATAAGTAACGAAAATAAAGTTATCATTGTTCGAAAGTAACTGTAAATTTTAAGTAACGAGTTATTTTTAAGCAAAAGTAACTGTAAAGTAACGCGTTACTTTTTTCAAGTAACCATCCCAGCTCTGTTTAAAAGTAATAAAAATTCTCATCGTTCAATCTTACTGAACGAATCCGGGTATGTTATACTACACTAATATTGATAAAGCAACTATGTATTAATAAATCTAGGAATCCAAATAGAAGTAAATCCTTCAAAAATACAAATTTTGATAAAAACGATGGAACTTCTAAATTTAAATGTTTTTTTTCCACAAACGTGTTAAAAATGCAATTTTTAACACCCCCTGTAGCATTAAAAATGTCACTTTATCGCACTAGTGCCATAAAGTCTTTATAGCACTAGTGTTAAAAATGAAACATCAAATTTTGAGAGCGAACGTCAAAAAAAGTTTATACAGGGTGTCCACTTATTGCGATATCAGACGATATCTCCTTACAGAAAAAAAATTTAAATAACAAAGTTGTTTGATACTCTAATATGCATTAGTTGAAAATATTTTTGAATATACAGGGTGCTCCGTTTATGGAGTATGTGACAGAACTTTGTTATTTTAAATGGCACACCCTGTATGTGATTGCATATTTGGATTCTACGTAAAATTCTGAGCAGATTTCATGTAATATACCCTATACCTAAATTCAACTGTTTTGGAAATATTGACAGTTGAAAATTGACTTTTTGCAACTTTGACAGGCTGTAGAACCTAAACGGTTAATTTTAGACGAAGGAAACTAGTCGAATCGCAGGGTGTAAAACGACATGCAAGAAACTCGGACTTTGAGTCTTGCCATGAAATTGATAGGGTACTATTTTTACACCATTCTTACATCATTTTCAACCCTCATGCTAAATCTTATTTTTCAAGTCCGAGTTGGAAAAAAATACGAAAATCTGAATATTTATGCGTTTTTACTTGTTAAGGGTAGTTTTTCATATTTCGACGGGGTTCGAGTCAATGAGATTTTGCATGGGGATTGGAGATGGTGTTCAAATGGTACCCTATCAATTTCATAGCAAGACTCGAAGTCCAAGTTAGACAAAATACAAAAACCTCAGTATTTATGCATTTTTACTTGTTAAGGATAGTTTTTCATATTTCTACGGGGTTTCAGTCAATGGGATTTTGCATGGGGGTTGAGATGGTGTTGAAATAGTACCCTATTAATTTCATGGCTAGACTCGAAGTCCAAGTTAGAAAAAAATACGGAAATCTTAATATTTTTTTATTTGGAATGGATGCATATATCCCATATACAACTAAACGTAGAGCTAATGCAAAACCTTGGTTCAACGGCCAGTGTCAAACGGCTGTACAGAAAAAACACAGAGCATATAACCTTTGGAAACGACAACAAACCGCTCAAAACCACACAGAATTTATAGAAGCCAGAAATAGTTGCAAAATTACTATTGACTCCGCTAAAGAACATACAATCAAAGAATAAAAAACAGGTTGCTGAATTGTCCAAGTAGTTCTAGGTCCTTTTGGTCTCTTGCAAAAGCTGTTGGATCTAACTTCACCAAGTCATCCATACCACCACTTACAGATAAAAATAATCACTTAGCCACAACATCAGAGGAAAAAGCCAATATGCTTGCCCAAATGTTTTCCTCCAACTCCAACCTAACAGTGCCAAACGGAAAAACTCCACCGTTCATTGAAAGGGTTTCCCATAGTATGCCAGAGGTACCCTTTTGTCACAGAGAAATACGAAAATCCCTAAAAAAGCTGGATACAAACAAAGCAATGGGTCCGGATGGCATTCCCGCAATAGTACTCAAAAATTGCGCCAACGAACTCACCCCAACTTTCGCAAAATTATTTAATTTGTCTTACAGGCAAGGAGTATATCCATCATCATGGAAGTCTGTCGCAGTACAACCCATTCCAAAGAAAGGAAAAAAGACAGATCCGTTAAACTATAGACCAATTGCTCTACTTCCGGTGATATCAAAAGTAATGGAAAGAGTTGTGAACAATCACCTAACCAAGTACTTGGAAAAGTACAAAATTATCAACGATAAGCAATACGGATTTCGAAAATATAGGTCAACTGGCGATTTACTTACATACGTCACTCACTTATGGCAAAAAGCGATTGAGTTGCGGGGTGAAACAAGAACAATTGCCTTAGATATATCTAAAGCATTCGACAAAGTTTGGCATGAAAATCTGCTCAACAAGCTCAAAGCAATGGGATTATCGCCGAAACTTTGCACTTGGTTTGAAAGTTACCTAAAGGACAGATCCATTTATGTTGCACTGGATGGCCAGAACTCCAACTCTTACCAAATAAATGCTGGTGTGCCACAGGGAGCAATCCTTTCGCCAACTCTTTTTCTGATTTACATAAATAATGACCTCATAGATAAAACAGTAAATCCACTTTATTGCTTTGCAGACGATGGCAATGTAGTCTCCTCACTCATACCACCCACAGGTCTTTCCGCACGTGAATTCCATCATCTTAGGCTAACTCAAATATCGCAGATAAATAACGACCTGGAGATAATAGAGGACTGGGGTAACAAAAACCTTGTACAGTTCAACGCGCAGAAAACCCAAGCAGCTCTGTTTTCAAAAAAGACCAGCACCGGTGAGCCAAACATCACGCTATCTGGAAGTGCTGTCACATTACAGAGTCAGTTGAACATCTTGGGGGTTACTGCAGAGACCAACATGTCTTGGCACAGTCACGTGGCAGATATTGCTAAAAGGGCGTCCCAAAAGCTGGGGGTGCTATTTCGTACAAGACATCTGTACACACCAAGCCAATTGCTGACACTCTACAAAGCCCAGATTCGACCAACTATGGAGTACTGCTCACATATATGGAGTGCAGCACCCAAACATACCTTAATGCTTTTGAACACCGTGCAAAAACGAGCTATCAAGCTAATCAATGACCCCGCACTTACTCGTAACTTGGATGGTCTCGAACATCGCAGATCTGTGGGCGATTTATCTCTCTTCTACAGGTACTATCACGGAAAATGCTCTGAAGAGTTGGCACGTATGATTCCACCGAGAGTAGCGCCTACCAGGCGAACCCGTCAAACAGACGGTAACCATGAATTTACTGTCAAACTAGAGGCACCAAGAACCTCATTATATCAGAATTCATATCTCTGGAGAACAGCATCGCTGTGGAATAAACTCCCTGCGACGGTTTTCCCTGCAGGTTACAACCTGAACCGTTTCAAGACCAACATACACCGACATTTCCGCGCACTTGCCGCTTCTCGAGCGTGATAGGACATTTCCTTGCGAGTGCGCATATCCGTAAAAAAAAAAAAAAAAAATTTATACATTTTTACTTGTTAAGGGTAGTTTTTCATATTTCGACGGGGTTTGAGTCAATGGGATTTTGCATGGAGATTGGAGATAGTGTTCAACTAGTACCCTATCAATTTCATGGCAACACTCACAGTCCAAGTTAGACAAAATACAAAAATCTCAGTATTTGTGAAAAAGTTGTGGGTCTATGAATTAGGGTGCTAACCTCATGTCCTAATTATTCATGGGCGAAATTAGGTTACCATTTTAATACTAATATGCTTCCGATTCCTACTTTAACTAATTTGAAGTTAAGTTCAAAATATTCTTAAAGCACAAAAAAGAATGTCTTACCTTAGATGCGATTCAGTACTGTTGTGATTATCAAGATCCGGTTGTGCCCCAAAGCTCCTGCTACAGGCTTTGCAATTGAATGGTTTGGCTTTAGGAGGAATATGAACTTTTACAGGCCTTGCATTTTCCAAATTGCTACTGACCTTTTGTTGTATTTTTTTTTTAAACAAAGTTACATTATCCTTATGTCTTTTGCTAGACAAATGGGATTTTTGTGCAGAAGAATTATCCATTTTAACTCCACACAATTTACATTGGGTGGTAGTAACTACTTTGTTTAAAGCCTGGCTTATCAAAACCTCTGTTGTTTTTTTATCCATGTTCAAATTTGAAAACTGAAATAAAAACAATTTTTAAGAAACAATATAAAAAAGTGTTCAACTTACCTACTAGTTCTATATTGAATGGAGGCACATGAAATTAGATAAAATAATATTATCACCATTCACGATCACAATCGCTCACAAGTATCCTGCAAAATGGAAAATCAAATAAAATTTACCTACTAAATTTAGATGAGTGGGCAAAAGTGTTTTACTCAAACTTAACCTTATGAAGGCGTCTATAGATGGTGAATTATTGCAGAAAATCCAAAGGAAAATTCAGATTTGCAATGTAAAGCCAAACACGATCAACAATAATTAACAAATCAAATAACAAAAAATAGAATGCAAAATTGATGATTATTTAAATTTTTTTAGTGAGCGAGCAGAGAGAGGGAATTTTACACTTTACAAGTGCTTTACACCATCATTTAATGGCGATTTCGATTCGATTGCACTCAGTGCACTCTTTTTTTGTTTATTATTTAAGTTAACGTTAAGTAAATTGAGTGCAATCAAATCGAAATTTTCTAGTTTTGATCAAAAACGAGTGGTTCATGTACCGAGATGTGCTTTCCACTTTCCAGTGACCCATTTGAGTTACTCCTGAGCAGCTCAGGAGTGCTCCACAATTACTTTGCGCGTTCCAGTGCTTAGAGTGTCGTACACTTGAACTACTCATTTCTGTTATCCCCTGCCCCCTCGTGCAGCAACCTTTATTTCGGTGTTTCATGCTCCTGAAGTCCGAAATGGTGGGGGTTAAGACGGGAGCGTTTCAGTGTTGCTTGTGTGGAACAGTTCAAGTGCGTCACACTCCAGGAGCATGATACTGTAACAATTTAGGCACTGGAAAGCAGCTCAGTTGAGCTTAATTTAAGTAACTTGATTATTTGGGTTCGGCCGTAGTCCGGCTACTCAACTCGGAGTTAGAGTAGAGTCAGAGTTCAGAGCATCTTCCAGTACTTTCAGTTCAGCCCCTTAGCAAAATTTGATGAAAATCTATTTATTGAACATTGGGAAGAAATAAAGAGTGTATATCTGCGACTTTCAAAGTACAGCTTCAAAATACTTTAGCGTTGTAGCAGCTTCGGTTCCATATGGGAGACTATTTTCAAATGCAGGACAAATTTTGACACAACACAAGTATTATATGGAAAAGGAAAACAATAGTAAAAATTGCTGTTCTTGGATAATAATTGTGATTCAAATAGGTATGATTGTTACTCGTATTTATATCATTTAAGTCAAGTATTTAACTTGATTTACTCCCTAGTTCTTACTATTGTTTGCTTTCAAATGTACTGTTTCTTCATTATAAATCGTACATTTATTACGTGTATGTATATCATATTAAAAATACATAAGTAGGTTAAGTAAAATGATATTCTATTTATTAACAGTTTAATTTTTTCGTACCATATTTTTAAAAATATCGATGTTTAGAAACATCGATATTTATTGTGTGTTCCGATCGTTCATGATCTTTTTTGAGTGCTCCAGTTCTTGAAACTAAAAAAAAAACATAAGCCATTGTGAACAGGGCAGTTCCAACCGTCGAACCATATTGAACAGAAGTCAGTGCAGTTCAAACAGAGTCCGTGCAGACAGAACAGAGTCGAACTGCATTAACTCTTCGAATTACTCGGGCTGTTCAGACTGTTCCGATTCTTCGAACCCTGTTACGAAAACACAGGGTATTAAAAAAAAAAGACAGCTTTGTCCGGCAATAACACTCCGAACTAAGATTACGAATATTCGTAGAGCGTCATTCATACATCAGTTCAGCTCAGAACTCTTTGGATCTTGTTAAATTCCCAGAACCGGTAGAACTAAGTTCAGATAACATCCGGAACCGATTTTAACACTCACAAAAAACTGTATTTTAAAATTTCAAATTTTTGTGGTTTTCACATGTTGAACCGATTCCGAACCATTTCAAAACTAATTTTACCGTAAACGATGCACAGTTCTTTGTTCGTCGTGGTTCAGATAGAATCAGTTCCGGATCGATTTTGGATGGCATGCGTGTCAACAGAGCCGCTTTCCAGTATGGGAGTGTGACGCTCGGAGCTACTCAGTGCGTTGAGCTCCCGAGCTGTACGTACGCGTCATCCTGTCAGCTGTCACATCCGTGGGTGGCTATTTATTTATTTATTTCTTGTTATATCTCGGGATTGAACATTTTCAAAATATAGTTTTGATTCTCTTTCATTTTTGATAAATAAAAAACAAACTGCACACATAAACAGATAATTATTTTTAAAATTTGACATATTTGACACTAATGGCGTTTCCGATTGGTAGATCTAGTGCAGAACTAGTGCAATTTTTTCTATTCCTGTCTTTTTCTTCTACAGGTGGATTAAAAGGTTGCAAATACACTCAGTGCGCACTGAATTTACCAATCGGAAACGCCATAAGACAGGCGTCTCACGCTACGATACTGGAACGGTACAAATCTAGTGCGTGGCGCCCCCGAGGTGCTCTAGAGCGCGCCAATGTGCATACTGAGCAGCTCAGATGTATTCCTTTCAAGAGTTTAAAGCATCTCTTCCTTTCAAATCGGGGTCGACTAACACCTGAGCGAGTAGCTCGAGTGTTCCAAGTTCTTGAAAGGAATACAATATACAACAACTAATAGTTGTATTCCATTCAAGAGTTTCGAACACTCGAGCTACTCGCTCCGGTGTTCAGTCGCCCCCGATTTGCAGGGAACAGGATGCGTGGTGCAACAAACACTTTTCAAAAGGAATAAGTGCGTGAAGCCCCGGAGCTGTTCCGGAGCTCCTCTCAGGTGTGAAAGGAATACAACTAATTACAAATGTGTCACCTCACCTGTGAATTGTCTGTGGTGCTGTGGGACTGTGGTACATCCGCCACCAATGAACTATAACCAAAAACTGGAATGCTAACACATAAGGACGAACGTGAAGCCTAGTGCGGCTGCTGCGGAGGGGATACCTGTTTTTGTCGCACTCATTATGTTAAATGACGAAAATTGCTTCCAACACGTATTCCAATTGATAAAACCTGTGAAGGGAAATATGACAAAACTTTCGAAAACGTCATATGTCAGCGAGCAACAGAAAAAAACAACATTCCCCTTTGTGGCATCTGTCTTTCATGGCTTCATTTTTGTGGCAGATATGGCAATGTGTGCACATTCCAGTTTTTAGCTATAGTTCATTGTCCGCCACAGGACTTTTTGTAGGTTAGGTTACTGTATTTGTTTTTGTTTTTATTTCCATTTCAGTTTCAGTCTCCAGTCTCAACTCTTTGGCTAATTAGTTATTAAGGTTCTGTTTTTGTACAGGTAAGTGTTGCTAAATAGCTATTTATTTAACAAGTGAGTGTGTGAAGTACCTTCGACGCGTGAGTTACAAATCAGTACGCGATGTACGACTTTTTAAAAACAAATTTATTTCACTTAAAACTATTACAATATTTTTACGTTTAAAATTTATTAAAATTCGAAGCGTCGAAAGTGAATGCAAAGCTCTGACTGACGACGCTCGGCAAGTAGAAGCTACAAAAAGAGAATACAGAATGCAAGCTAATGAAAAATAATATGCTGATTAAATAAAATATACAATGTAGAGCCGTATGTAACTCGTGCGTCAAAATTCACATTCGTGAAAAAAGGTGCTTACACACATATGCATTGCATACCAAAAAATATGTGTAAAAAATAGCTATGCATACAATAAGTTGCGAAATGAGCGTCTTTAGGCACGCGACGTGAAAATTGTCCAACGAGGCAAAGCCGAGTTGGACAACACGTCGAGTGACTAAAAGACGTCGTTTCGTAACGTATTGTATACAAGAATTTTTCTACTGGCGTTTCATAATAAAAAAACACAATTTTATTTCAATGTTTGTCACCTGCTTTTCAATTCAATTCAATAAAGCTTTATTGTCCTAATTCTTAACAAAATCACTGACAAAGCAAAAGGTACAAAGTAAGTCCTAAAAACTATACATAAAAAGCAGGAAATAAAATTTCATAATAAGTTTTGTCCAAAATAACAATAACAATTTAAGTAAGTAGGGATGTACCGGAATTCCGGCGGTACCACTAAATCCGGCCTATAGCCCGGAACTACAGTTCCGGCCGGATCGGAATTTTCGAAAATTTTAAAATAGGTTAAATAATAAATTTATAAGCAGAAAGCAAGAAGAATACTTAGAACTTTATTAAAATTAAATTTTTAAACCATAACAATATTTTTTTAAACATAAACATTAAATTCAGGTATGGATTTCATAAAACTTCCATACTTTTGACATTTTTAACTTAGCTGGATACACAGGAACACAAAACAACTGCAACTACACTGGACTGAAAATCGTTTAAGTTTTACGTGCACAAGCGTTTGAGTCAGATGTCTCTGGTCCCTATTCTAGAGACAGGGAAGAAACGTTCTCATAAAGGTTCTGTCTTCGTTACCCATATTCATATTTCCATAACACTAAACAAAGACAGAGCAATCGTTCTCATGAGAATGCTATTCCCCGGTTTTGAAAATAGACATCCAGATAGACTCGGGGATTCGCCAATCTATTTGAAGGAACAGCCAAACTCAAACATAACCAAACTTTAGCTGCTTTCTTTTTTTCCATCGAGCTATTCTCCATTATGAGTAAGTCATCTTGATTTCCTATGTACTAGAAAGAGATAGACTGCTCATCTGTAGGTTCGCCAGTAAAAAAAGAATGCGCCCTTTCAAATTATTATTAAATTGCAGAAAACTGTCGATCCGGCCGGAATTCTGGCGGTCTGGTCCGGTTAGGAGCCGGAATTCCCGTTCCGGCCGGATAGGCCAAATACCCGATCCGGTACATCCCTATAAGTAAGGGCTTCAAGCAACGTGACACTAGTCATGAAAGAAGCCTTTAGCAAAATTGTTTACTACGTATATCATAAATATCACTGAAAATGGCTAAAAGATTAAAACAACAAACAAATCTGAAATAACAAATAACAAATCCAAATTGGGAAATCACACAAGCAAATAAAAAAACAATAGTATAACACAATAAAATAAAATAAATGAAAAGTTTAAAATATAGTAACATAATCCGTCTTATAAAACTCTAAGATAATATAATAGTTAGAAATAAATTTTGGAATCATAAACAAAACGCTGTCATTTATAAAACTCTCCCAGGCTATAATAAGCTTTTTCAATTAGGAATGCTTATAAGTTTTTTTCGAAAGAGTTTGTACTGTTCAATGTTTTTAAGTTCCTTTGGCAGATGATTGAAAATTTTGATTCCCTCATAAACTATTGAATGTTTCACCAATGGATTAAAAGTAGGCAAATTTTTAATCATCTGCCTGTTAACTTAAGGCAGATAGGTGGTTTTAAAAAGTTTAGACTAGAGCTCAAAACATTTTTACATGGAAAAGCCTACTAGCATATTAATGAATTTTTAAATGAAAAATTTTAATTTTGTTTGTTAAACGTGGATACTTTTTGTCTGGTAATCGAGAGAATGAAAGGTTTTGTTGTGTAAATATCGCTGAAAAATCGCCAGACGGTAATCCCAGCTCGAAGTCGAGTTTTCCGGCGAAACACTCTGTGGACATTTCGAACAGGTGGCAAGCACTAAAACCACCTATATTCCCATTAGCTAACTAGCCACATTCATCCCTCCAAATGCCAGACAAAAAAAAAATGACTCCATTAAACAGGCCCCTTTCTCACGGTCTATTATGTCTCCCAGAGAATGGTCGTATCATCTGCAAACATCACAAAAACTCCCAATATTGACAGCGAGGCGAGGTCGTTTATGTACAGTAGAAAGATGCTTGACACCTTTCATGGTGGTGACTAATATTCATAATAAACACAAAACAAAATTCAAATCTGTGTTTAGTGTGTTTTTTATTTTTGAACAATGAATGACACTTTTAGGCACTAGTGCTTAAAAGTTTCTTTTACGCACTTGAAAGTTACTTTTACGCATTGAGTGCCTAAAAGTCACTTTTACGCACTGAGTAGTGATGTAAAATGCTCGAGCAAGTATTTTAGGAGAACGTTCTCTGAGCACGATTGAGAATTAACGAGAATAATCGAGCAAAAACGAGCAGGACCCGAGAATTTACGCTTCTTATCAGCAGCTGAATAAAACAAAACATTTTTCTAAATAAATTCTGATTTTTCTCAAATTTCCGAAAATTCCCAAAATTCTCGTGAAAGTTCTGAATATTCTGAAAATTCTTCATAAATATGCTGAAAATTCTCAAACTTCTTAGGAAAATATAATAATTAATCTCATATTCGTGCCATGTTTGTTTGACAACAATAATTATTCTAATTTGTCGGGTATATTCTATTTGGCAAAATTTGCATGCATAAATGTTTTTTCCATTTCGTTTTTTAATGGTATGAAAGTTAAAAGTATCACACTTTCCTCTCGGCATTTTATATAATTCAACACACAGAAGGCACGTGCAGCACAGGTTAGGTATTGTCCGTCATTTTTAATCTGACACTTTCCGTATGAGGAGTAAGGGGGTGAAGTATAATGGTGCATTTACATTCACTTCGAAGTCCAATTTGTCTTGAAATTGACGCGCTTGGCATATGGCGGCAGCACAGATCCATTTACATTGAAATAAATTTGAAGTTCACTTCGAAGTGCACTTTAAATTTGGGCGAGCTGCTTGCCGAGAGCAAGCAGAAATTTGTGAAATGTCAAATTTTTAGGTTATTCATCATGATTCTCATTAAATTCTGACGTTTTTACTTGACGTTTTTGTTCTGCAATAATGATAAAATATCAAACGTCAAATTTAACTTGAAGTTGAAAGTGAATGTAAGTGCTCCTTAAGGCAAAAACAGGTGTGTCGTCAGGTGACCATTGGCGTTCTATGGTTTATTTTTTTCCAAGATAGATTTTGGCATTGTCAACTTTGAAACATAAACAATGCCGCTTATTCGTCGCTATTGTAAAACTGATGTCAACCTGCAGAAACACCTCATTTTGTGACTAATCAGGGTGAAGCGTTATTGTTTATGTTTCAAAGTTTTCAATGTCAAAATCTATCTTGGGAAAAAATAAAGTGTAATGTAGGGCTCACATTCCTTTCGAGTATCAGATCAAAATCGACAGACTTTACCTGTATTATTTAATTCACACGCTACCACACCCCACACCACAACAAAAAATAAATAGCTGTTTTTCGCGGAGCGCATCAACCTGTATGTTAGAGTGATTTTATTGGGTGCAAGATTCACGCCACTTTCGAAAACATCTTATAAGCTAAGGGTTGGCGTCACGTGATTTTATTGGTTAAGATCGTGCTTGAAAATGTGCTGAATATTCTCTATCCTGCTCCGAAGGTAATATTCAGCACGAACCTTTATTCCGTGCGCGAACGTTCGCGAACGTTCTCGAAAGCACAATTAGAACGTTCCCTTGTTCACATCACTAACTGAGTGCTTAAAAGAATGTCGTTTCAAAACTAAAATGATAATCGAAAAGTTGCTATTATGAAACGTCAGTAGAAAAATAGTTATTATGTTACATGTCATTCATGAATAATAACACTAAGTTTTATTAATTATTTTTTCATAATATTTTAATTTTAGTTTTTTTTTTTAATATTAGAAAACAATGGACCCGATAGAAAAGCTAATTACCGAAAAGCTATATAAGTTAGTCACTTCAGAATATTGTGAATTATGTGATGTCGAGATTGTTAATGAGATAACCAAAAGAGATCATTACAATGGAAGAAGGCACTATAAAAATCTAGAGTGGTTTCGAGAAGAGGAAAGATATCGCCTTTCTCATCAAAAAATTAACCATGAGACTCCAACGCAATCTATTGAAAATACAAAACTATATTGCAAATCTTGCAACAAAACAGTTGGTTCACAAGATGAGCTTTTAAAACATAATGGTACCGAAGCGCATCAGATGTAAGAATTAACATTTTATCTGTGAACTTTTTAACAATCCTTTTTAGAAATGTAGCTTGCTATTGTGAGTTTTGTTCCATTTATACCTCATCCAAAAATAACATGTGGCAACATTTGAGAGGCGAACAACATAAAAAAAAACTCATAGAAGGATGTTTTCCTATTGATGGTAATTGTTAATTGTGTGGTTGAATTCCTTTATTATTTGGATTGTTTTTGTAGGAGAATACAGTTCCTCTCGAGATTCTTTATCAAATGTGCTGCAAAATCTGATGCTGATTGATATTTGTAAAATTTGTAATTTACAACTTCCAAATATCCAACGATATAAAACTCATTACAGTAGTGAAAGCCATGAAACAGCAGTTAAGCAATGGTTACAGGTATTTAAAGTATTTTCACTTATTCTCATTTTGTTGGGCAATTAATTGTTTCTAATTAAAGCGCAATCAAGACAGTGTAAACCAGCCAAAGCCAGTGAAAAAAGTTACTGATGAGACCAAATCTGAGGAAAAAGCTAATAATGAAACTGTAGAAACGTAAGTATAATACTTTTTTTGGCAATATAAGTTATATTAATTATTTTTATATTATTTCAGAAATGTGATGCATTATTGTTTCATCTGTAAGTTGCAGTTTCCTTCTAAGGACAGACACCAACATGTAAATAGCTTTCCTCATTCGATTTTGTACAAAGAAAAACAAGAATTGCTAAAAAAAGGTGCTAGTTGCATGATATTTCTGGCTTAAAAATTACCATTATGTAATTATTTTTTTAGGCATCAGTGAAGTATATTTGGAAGAAAGTCAGGGTTCCATAGTGTGTACACTTTGCAGCATAACACTTTATAATTTCCCGATTGTTATAGACCACACTAATCGCTCAAAACATATCATAAACTATCTCAAATGGCATGGCACTGCCAAAAGAGTAAGTAACATATTTGATTTTAAATCAAAATGAATACTAAAGAAATTATTTAAGGTAACTCAAGATTCAAAAATTAAGCATTTTTACTGCAAAGTTTGTAATAAAGAGTTAGATGGAACCAGTTATGCTGATCGACACTACGAGGAAGAATCGCACATCAAGTAAAATTCCTACTACATATTTAATTTAATAAATAATTTATTAATATTTGATTTTTAGGAACCTTGACAAAATAGGTGAGGTTTCTAATGCAACTTCTGAGATTTTGGAATTACAAAATAAAAGCACGCAGCTTCACGCGAAAGAAGTTTCATCAAAGGACATACTAGGTAAATAATATAAATTAATGTTTTTTTTTTATCAGATTATTGTGGATATTTTGATGAAGATACTTTAAAAAAAAATTGTGCATATTATTTACCATAATCTAGCTTTTTACAAACAGATTTCATCTATACATATTGTACGAGCTAATCAGTGGACTGTATTTTTAAAAATTATCAAAAATCGATAAATGGCAAAACCAATAAAGGACTTACCCCGAAACTGCGTGGGTTTTAGGCACTAAAATAATTGGTTCTGGTTTGATTTACCGGCAAAAATCGTTCTCTCCTTTCGGACAGCGACAGCACATATTCTCGGCTACTCAATCTCTCTGTCCTTCTTTAATCAAGAGCGCACTCTTGCTCTCTTTTACGGTACCGCGCGAAAAGTCCATGGAAATGCCATTCTCACGCGCAATTAATAATTGAAATTTACACTTCAAATTTAAGACATATATACAAGTTGCGTTTAAATTACCCAAATTACAATACGATAAAACGTAAGTCCCAAACGTTACCGCCCACCAAAATACCGAATGCGTATTTTGTATAAAACAAAAAAATATAATAAAAAAAAATATATATAAAATTATAATCCTAATAAAAAACATCCTGAACAAGCATAGAGAAGCCTACTGACCAGGTAATGGGCAGAGTTTTACCACTGGGCGCGAGCCGTTCTGACTGTTACTACCCTGCAAACCCCATCAGAGCCTGGATGTAATTTAACGACTCTCGCAAGTTCCCATTGTAAAGGAGGAAATTGTACATTTTTAAGAACCACAAGCATATCAATCTTAGGTGGATCTGAAGCGGTATTCCATTTATATCTCTGAGACAGAGTATGCAAATACTAATCGCGCCATCTTTTCCAAAAGTCCTGACTCATACGTATCAATAGTTGCCAACGCGTTAGGGTATTTAATTTGCAACTAGTTAAATCAAAATCGGGAAGTGCCGTGATCGGTTCCAATATAAGAAAGTGACTAGGCGTTATGGCATTCAAATCGTTAGGGTCGGAACTTATTGGACTCAATGGTCTTGAATTTAACATGGCTTCTATTTGTACTATAATAGTGTTCAGTTCCTCATAAGTCAAAATCTGATCTCCTATAATCCGTACTAAATGAGTTTTAACCGATTTAATTCCGGATTCGGCTAGTCCATTAAAATGTGGGGCGGCAGGAGGATTAAAGTTCCATGCAATTTTCTCAGCTTCAAAATCTGACTGCATTATGTCTTTAATATATTTGCTGCTGGCAACAAAATTGGTGTCGCAGTCACTGTAGATATTCACCACCTTTCCTCGTCTGGAGATAAAACGCCGTAAAGCCGCCAAAAATGACTCTGAAGACAAATCTGAAGTGACTTCAAGATGTAAGGCCTTTGTACTACAACATACAAATAGACATAAGTATGCCTTCAAAGTCTTACAACCTCTAGTACGATTGGGAGTTATTAGAAAAGGCCCGCCCATATCAACACAAACATGAGAGAAACACTTTAATTGATTTACGCGGAATGAAGGAAGATCAGCCATTAGAGGTATATTAGACATAGGATTCACCCTAAAACACCTTAAACATTTTCCAATAACAGAGCGAATGGCTCTCTTGGGATTCAGAATCCAAAAGTTTTGCAAAATGAGAGGATGAGTGGTTTAAAAACCAGGGTGAAAATTGTCTGAATGTGTTTCCATAATAATTAACTCAGTTAATCTGCTTTGACGTAGCAGCAGCATGGGATGCTTGTAATTATACGCAACATCAGCATGTTTAAGCCTCCCACCTACTCTTAGTATACCTGAACTATCCAAAAAAAAGGAACCAATCGTCGTAACTGATTTGAAACAGGTTTATTATTTCTGAGGTTTGAAATATCCTTGAAAAAATATTCGGCTTGAGTTTGTTTTACCAATATCAAAAGAGCATCATTAAGCTCAGACATAACTGGTTCATGAAGCCGTTTATTGTCGGAATTCTTCCAACTGAAAGCAAATCTCAAGCAATACGCTATTATTCTCTTAATTTTACCAAAATTAGAAAATTTTGAAAGTAATGTAGCTATTTCTGAGGATGTGCGTGTCGAAACAAGGGCAAATGGCCTGGATTCGTCATTACAATCACCAACTTATTACAAGGAAGTATGTCAGAATGCAGCCACGGAGGCCCCGCCCACCATATGGGGTGATTTATCAACTCGGTGGGTAGTAGACCACGAGATGCACAATCAGCAGGGTTCTCTTTTGTGGAAATATAATGCCAGATATTTTGAGAAACTTTTGATTGTATATGTGTAACACGGTTACTTACAAAAGTCTTCCACCTGTGAGGGGAGGATTTTATCCAAGCTATAACGGTTTTAGAATCACACCAACCATAGATCTCCGCGAAGACAAGTTTAGAAGAGTAACAATTAATAACTTCCGAAATTAAGTTGGACAAGAGCACTGCCCCACACAGTTCTAAACGAGGAACTGAAATTCTCTTTAATGGAGATATCTTAGATTTCGCGCAAACTAGCGAAATAGCAGGAGCCCTATTTTTGCTCTACAATCGAAAATAGACCACGGCTGCGTACCCTTTCTCGCTCCCATCACAAAACCCGTGAAGCTCTACTGAGTGGTAGTCACTCGAAATTACTCTTTGTGGAACACTTATATTCTTTAATGTGGGTAATTCATTTTGAAATTGCAACCAACGATTTTCGACTTCTTGAGGAACAGATTGGTCCCAATCTATGCCCAATACCCATAAATACTGTATGAGATATTTGGCAAAAAAAGATACAGGGGTTATAAAACCCAAAGGATCGAAAATGCGTGCCAATTCAGAAAGGATGCCTCTTTTTGTCGCAGCATTATTCTTAGGAACACAAGTATATGAAAAGGTGTCTAATGTGGGTAGCCACGTTAAACCTAAAAATTTTATAGCACAATCGCTATTATCAAAGGAATGAGGCTGTTGCTGACAATCTGAGGGAGGCACTGCTTCTAGAATAGCTGGGTGATTAGAAGCCAATTTACGTACTTCCAGCCCATTTCGGCCCAATAATTGAATAAGGTTTGCTTGTAGGCGTAAAGCTGACGCAATAGAATCCGACCCAGTGACCAAGTCATCAACAAAGAAATCTGATTTTAAAACCTGAGATGCATCAGGGTAATTAGTTTTCTGATCCTCAGCGATTTGAGCAATAGTGCGCAAAGCCAGAAATGGAGAAGAAGACACTCCATACGTCATGGTGTTTAACACAAACTCTTGAACAGGGTCATTTTGTGAAAAACGCCACAATATCTTTTGATATCTTCTGTGGGCCTCCGTCACTAGAATTTGACGATACATCTGCTTAATATCGCAGGTAAACACTACGTCATGAAACCGAAAATTTAGCAATAAAGAAAATATGCTTTGCTGAAGCTTAGGGCCAATTAAAAGAGCATCGTTCAATGAAAAACCAGTAGCGTATTTAGCACTAGCATCAAACACTACTCCTAACTTTGTAGTGGCACTATCTGGCTTAAAAATGCAAAAGTGTGGAATAAAATATTCTTGACCACTCGAGGACCCTACCCTAGATAAATCCAATGACATATGACCACGGTCCAAATAATCTTGCATGAATTCGGAATAGGCAGAGTACAAAGGAGGAGTTTTTGATAAACGCTGCTCTAAGGAGCGAAACCGTCGCAGAGCAACATCTCTGGAATCGACAAATTGGGGATCACTTTGTTTAAATGGCAATGAAACAACATATCTACCATTTGGTTCAATAAAGGTTGTCTCAGTATATATTTTTTCACATAAAATATCTTCGTCTGAAGGCAAAATTTCAGCTGGAATTTCCTCAATTTCCCAGAACTTTCTTATAGCCACATCCAAGGGTGACTTACTGGTAGTAAGAAATGTACGAACACCAGTATGGTGAATATCAGTTTTTCCCATAATAACCCAACCAAATATGGTATTAAGTGCGACTGGCTTTCCGGGACCACCATCAATTCGCCCTTCATACAGCAACAAAGGAAACAGGTCTGCCCCAAGCAACATATCAATCGCAGCAGGTTGATTAAATTTCTCATCAGCCAACTTTAAATTTGCTAAATGTGAAAAGTTTTCAAGTGAAATGGGTTGCTCTGGAAGATGAGAAGAAATTTTGGGAACTGCCACAACTTCAACATTAAACGTAGATGAAGGGTCGCCAATAGGACTAATAATACAAGAGGCTAATCCTGAAGAACTTGTAGAAATTTCACCTAAACCATAAATAGGGAGGTGTGACTTTCTACGAGGTAAGCCTAATCGCATAAGGCATGTATCCGTGATAAAGCTGGATTGACTTCCACTATCTAGCAAAACTCTAACAGTCTGCAAGACTGTCAAGTACTGCCACCTTAGCTGTTGACAAAAACACTACGGAGGGAGATGATGTAACACTAGTATAGAATTTTTAATACCTATTTAGAAGTACCAGTCATTTTAGTGACTAAACGTATGTCACTTCTCGAACACACAAATTAAATGAGGTTGGGAATTTCCTATTTGTACATGAAATTGACGTATTAACAATCGACGTTCGTTTTTGTTAGTAATTTTTTGTTTCATCTGATTCGTGACTGATAAATAAGGATGAAATTATTCTAAATGGGCATTAAAAATACTATAAATGTTTTAACCTGAAGAAAGTCACTGTTTTCATCAGGTGTAGGTTCTGACGGCATTGATGTGGTTTGTGGCTTAGCTGAAGAAGATAAATTATTCTTATTTGGTGGAGACTCATTGTTGAAATGTAACAGTGAATGATGTTTCTGCCTACAAATGGAACAACAATTGGGATCTGTACACTGGCGCGCAGAATGGGGGCCAAAACAATTTACACAGACATTCTTGTGTTTCAGCAAAGTGAACCTTTGATTTGGAGTTTTCTTCAAAAATTGTGAACATTGTTCCAAATCATGATTTTCGTTGCAGCTAAGGCAACTTTTAGGCTCAGGGAAACTGCCCTGGAGAAGAAAGGTAGAAGGACCTGGACGAGAAGTCTTGTATGGCAATTTGTTGGGGCTAAATGAGTTTTTTTTCATATGATTTCCTTGGGAAACCTTGAGAAACGGTTTTGGCGACTGAGGCGTAACAATCAACGCAGCAGAGTCAAATGCTAGACATTGCTTATGCAAAAAATCTGATAACTCCTTATAAGATGGAATATCGTTTGAAGGATCTTGCGGATTGAACTATAGCTCAAATCGCTTTACAGACTGAGCATCAATTTTTTTACTCAATAAGTTAAATATTATAAAATCCCAATGGGGTACAGGAAATCCCAGATTTTCCAGTGCTTTTAGATTTTCATTAAAAATGTCCAACAAATGTCTAAGTGCTTGAGGGTTCTCACAGTTTATTCTAGGAACGTTGAGAATCTCGTTCCAATAATGGGAACTTTGAGCTCTTTTATTTTGATAACGTTGGCAAAGTGCATCATATGCTATACAATAATTAGAGGCATTAAGTGGAATCGTTTTAACTATCGTTAATGGTTCACTAGTTAAAGATGTCACTAGATACTGAAATTTTTCAATGTCAGATAGATCCCGATTACTATGCACTAAAACTTTAAAAAAGGTCTATAAAAGAACTCAATTCTTTGAGATTACCGTTAAAAGTTGGCAGCGATAATTTTGGTAAGCGTATATTCACATGTTTTGCACCCTGCAGACTTGAGGGACTTTGAGAACCTTCATGATACGGAGGAAAAATATTAATATAGAGTAACCCGATTGCATGAAAAACTTCATCAAATGTGGAACGTACTACTTCCTCTTCATGTACCAAATCGTCAAAATCATCTAAGCCTGACAAAAGTCCTACAATACCTCCATGTATTTCATTAAAATCATTATATATTATGTTTCTTGATTTGAATCTTAACTTTAAGGAACCTGTTTTATTTTTATCATCAGGATTATCCAAACACTCTTGTGCCAACCTATATAATTCTTGAATTCGACTTATTTCGATATTACGCTGAGTTTGCAACTTCTAATCTCTCTTTTAATTTTGTCGGCCATAGCTATGAGATACAACTTAAAATAATATTCGCTTCAACCTATACTGACTCTAACTACCTTGAAATTCAGAAGTAGATATCAATTTTAAATAATTAATTAATTGATTAATTAATACTATTTGAGTTAGAACGTAAAAATCTGTATTTGTCGCCCTGGCACTCTATACCCAATAGGCAATAATATTTAAATTATAAAGAAATGCAAAAATGCCACACTAAAATTGTTTATTGCTTTCAATTGACAATGGTCTGATAAGGCTATTTTCAACAATGGTAAAAATATGCAGCCCAATTCAAAGTCAATAAATTTCTCCAAAACTGTGGAATATTAGCGAAAATAATTTTATATTTACCGGCATTCAACCCAATGCTAAATAATCATTTAATAATAAATATTATCTAAACTTCAATAAATTTAATGAATTTCATATTAAAAAATGTTAAAATGAATGTGTAATAATAAATAGGTACAAATAGGTACTCAAAAAACTGTGGTACCAATGTAATTAATTAAAATTCATTTTTACGCAACTTGTATATGAAAAAAGGTTACCGATAATCCGGCTCGAAGGACCAAATGTACGAGCTAATCAGTGGATTGTATTTTTAAAAATTATCAAAAATCGATAAATGGCAAAACCAATAAAGGACTTACCCCGAAACTGCGTGGGTTTTGGGCACTAAAATAATTGGTTCTGATTTGATTGCCGGCAAAAATCGATCTCTCCTTTCGGACAGCGACAGCACATATTCTCGGCTACTCAATCTCTCTGTCCTTCTTTAATCAAGAGCGCACTCTTGCTCTCTTTTACGTACGGTACCGCGCGAAAAGTCCCTGGAAATGCCATTCTCACGCGCAATTAATAATTGAAATTTACACTTCAAATTTAAGACATATATACAAGTTGCGTTTAAATTACCCAAATTATAATACGATAAAACGTAAGACCCAAACACATATGTTTTCTATTTATAATGAAAAATAGTTTAATATTTTCATAGATTTTTAGTAGAAATTTGGTTTTGAATATTATTATCTATAATTTTATAGTTGTTACCCCATGGCCTCCAAAGTTCCCAGATCTTATTAAACCCAAAAATTGTACAGGTAAGTTTTTTTTTTTTAAATTTATTTAAAAGAACAGGAAAATTATGGAGAGAAATGTAGTATAATATAATTAATATAATTTACCGAGCAAATATTTTTCTTTATAGTTTCTATTAAAATTATCAAAAAAAAACAACAATTAACTTCAATAGTTATAAATTAAAATAGACTTTCAAATTATCTGGAAAAATGTAAAATTCCCAATTTCATTCTATTTGCATTATTTGTGGAGATTAGGTTCAAAATCTTTACACACATCTGGACGCCCCTATTAAACTATGGCAAATTAGTTTTTGAGATATTGAGCTGATTCTGGAAAATTGACCATTAAAATCGTTTTACAGATATGTTAATAATCAAAAATATGTATTTGGAAAAGTTGAAACATCAAAAAAAAAAAAAGAGTTTAAAAATCCAAGAATGGGAAAAAATGGAAATTACAGTAATTTGAAAAATCCAAAATTCTGAAAAACTTTAGAACCTCGTAGGACCCTTAAAGATGTTTTACAAATGTTAATAATCAAGGATAGATATATTCTGAGAAGTTGGCAGATCAAAAAAAAACTTAAGGATTTGGAAATCCAAGTTTATTTTTTTTAAAGCATCTGTATTTTTTTTTAAAAAAAAACCTCCAATTACTTCTTGTTTGAATTTGTTGAATTTTTATAGCTGACTTATTTCTTACCCACAAAGTTTTTTAACTTTTACCTACATTCCAAAGAATATCCTCCAATTCATATTTGTTTCCTTTTTCAGATGTCATTGATAAGGATTCATCAGCACCACCAGCAGAGGCAGCATTAAAATCATCTTCTACTACAACCAATAAAGATGATGATAAAACAAACAAGGCTGATAAAAATGATCAAATAGTTGTAACTTCTACAAATTACTCAGAATTCTCATGTTATATTTGTGATGTTTTATTATCATCAAAAAAAGAAAACGACTTACATAGGCAAAGTTTTCAACATTCAGCTCTAAGTGAAGAAAAGGAAAGGTTATTGAAAGAAGGTTTGTAAAGCAGGCAACCTATAAAAATAATCCTTTTTATATCAAAAAATTGGTGCTTCCCAAGTCATTACATTGCAGATTTCTTGATTCCTCTCTGAAAAAACTCTCAAGAACCTTCATTTTTCAGATTTCAGATTTTCTAGCAACTAAGTTCTACAGACAGATGTATGTACAGATAAAATAATCTATTATTTTTTGTAGGAATTCTTGATGAATATTTGACAGCCACTGTGGATGGCGTCATGTGCGAACTGTGTTCTGTTATCCTTTGCAATCCAATCGGCCTCAACCAGCACAAAAATGGCCTGAAACATTCCAATGAATATTTCAAATGGCGTTTAAATTCCAAGAAAGTAAGTAGATTTAGCTTAAAGATGCGTCTAATTTAATATTAGAGGAGAAAATTGATCAGTTTCCAGTGATGCCAGGTCTGGTGAAATTTTACCATGTCTGGTGATTTTATGAAAAATCTGGTGATTGGTGAAAAACTTTTTGAAAAATGGCAATTTCTGCTGATTCATCAATTTTGAATATTTTTAACAATGGCATACACTTTATAAACATCCCTCGTAATAAATTGCGATTTTACTTCATTAACATACAAATTTCATTTGTTTGACAGAATACCAAATACCCATAAGTGGTGTGTGAGGTCCTTTGATTTTTATATAAATTTGTATTTGTTCTTTTGATATATTTATATATTATATTTCCCTTTTTATATTTCAATTTCTGTTTATTCCAGGCTCTTGTTGCTATTGGCCGGTTATTTTTCAAATTGAAAACATGTATTTTATTTGGCCAGTGGCGTTGCTTATGGGGGGTTTCAGTCAAAACAATCGAAAACTCGAAATTTTTATTTTTCATATTTTCGAAATTTTGACTTTTTTAATTGATTCAGCGGGCTTAAATTAATCGAAAAAAATTTCAACATCACTTCAAAATGGCGATTTCAAAAAGCTAAAAAATCTCAATTTTCGTTCTGGAAATTTTTTCAAATCTTGACAAGGTTAGGAATAATGGACAATATCTTCAAATAAATTTGAACAAATCAAAACAAATTATATATATATACAGTAGACTCGCGATATAGTGAACATGCTGTATAGTGAACTACTCTAAATAGTGAACAGGCAATTTTTTGTTAATGCATTCTGTACAGTGAACAAAGTGGTTCTCGAAATAATGAACCCAACACGTCGATACAGGAAAACGATTTTAAACGTTTTGTTTACTTTTCTGTAATCGGATCACAGCAGTTTCTTGCGAATTGTGATTGCATCAGGTCGTTTCGCGAGTGAAATATGGCAAAAAATAGAAAACATTTAAGCCTAAATGATAAAGCCAAAATATTAGAAGACTTAAAGAAAGGTGTCGGAGTGACTGTTTTATCCAAAGAATATGGTGTTGCTAAATCAACTATATGCGCTATTCGAAACAGAAGGGTTAACATTTTGAAAAGGGTCAACAATACTTTTAGCGGACCAGGAAAAATGAAAACCTTAAGACACTCAGAGTGTCCACGAATGGAAAAGGCTCTGTATAGGTGGTTTCTCAAACAAAGAGAGAAGAATCTTCCCGTGACCGGTTTAATGATCCAAGAGAAGGCTAAGCTGCTCCACAATGATTACAAAGAATCTCCTTCTTTCCATGCAAGCAGCGGCTGGTTGCAAAAATATAAACGGCGATTTGGAATACGTTACTTAAAGATTTCAGGCGAAAAATTATCATCACAGCCTGAGCTTGTTGAGCCTTTCAAAAGAAATCTAGAAGCAAAAATTAAAGATCTTCAACTGTCGAAAGATCAGATTTACAACGCCGACGAAACTGGCCTATATTGGAAGCTTCTTCCTGGAAAAACATATGTAGCTCGCGAGGAGAAAACAGCTCCAGGACGAAAAACCGAAAAACAAAGAGTGACCTTTCTAGCATGCACAAACGCGGCAGGTACGCACAAATTAAAACCACTAGTGATTGGAAAGTCCAAAAATCCTCGATCATTTCGAAATTTCAACATACCTGTTCATTATCGAAATTCCAAAGCTGCTTGGATGACAGCAACAATTTTTGGAGAATGGTTTCACAAGATGTTTATTCCAGAGGTAAGTTTCGCCATTCGCAATAGGAAAACATTTTAAATTCTACCATTTTTACGAACAAAACGACATCATCTGTGTAATTTCGAATCCTATAAATTTGTTTTTGACGCGATTACATATTTCCCTTTCTTGCTGTTCCTGCTTGTGATTTAAGGTTTTGTTTTAACTTGTTTCAGGTGACAAAGTTCCTACGTAGACAAAATCTGCCAGTTAAAGCCGTCCTTTTGTTAGACAACGCATCAAGTCATCCACCCCCTGAAGAACTAAGAAGTGATGATGGTTCCATTTTTACTCTTTACATGCCACCTAACGTTACTCCATTGATACAACCGATGGACCAAAATGCGATTCGTTTAACAAAACTTTTTTATCGCAAAAATTTGTTGTCGCAGATTATTGGTACCGATCAGGATATAGGAGAAACTCTGAAATCTCTTTCTTTAAAAGACGCTGTTGTACATTTGGCCCTAGCATGGGAAAATTTAAAGCCTGAAGTCATAGAAAAATGTTGGCACAATCTACTTTCGCCGTTAGCCAACGAAGATGATGATGATGAGGATGAAATTCCTTTAAGTGTTCTACGAACTCAAATAATGAATGGGGAAATCAATAGAGTAAGATCAGAAATTGTCGATTTACTGCAAGCTGTCAATCCCGAAGTGAACATTCGCACCATGGATGTAGACGACTGGAATAACGATATTTTGCCGGATAAAGAAAATAAAGACCACAGCGAAAGCGATGAAAATGGTCAAGATCAAGAACGGGACGAAGTTCAGGTAATGAGAGAACGTGTGACAACTGAAATTGCGATGAAGTCAATTAACAACGTAATTCAATGGGCTGAAGAAAATGAAGTAGAATACTCCAGTTTACTCGTTTTACAAAACTTAAGAAATGAAATGGTCCAAAAAGGGTTCATGAAACCAAAAACACAAACAAAAATTACATCGTTTTTCGATAAAAAAAAAGAATAAACCACCTTTTAATTAGTACATTATACTTATAACGTTTTTTTCATTGATAATAAAGTTGGTTTTGTAATAACAGCCGTTGTTTTAGTAAATTTTAGAAATATTCCATATAGTGAACAAATCGATCTAGTGAACTGGCTTTGCATTAATTAGTTCACTATATCGAGAGTCTACTGTAGTTGGAAAGAGCATGAAATTCTCTATAAGTCCATGCTAAATTAGTTCTGATAATTCCGATACTTTCTGGGCAATTGGATCTCAAAGTAGACTTTTAGTCCAAATTTTATCAAAAATTTCAAATTCGATTTTCTCAAAAACCATGAGAGCTAGCGATTTTAACTAAATACCATTTTAAAGCCCTAGTCAAGAGTTACATTTCCTGAAAATTTTAATTGAAAATCTTTAATAGATTTTAAGATATCCAAGATCAAATATTTTGAAATGAAAAACCCTTTGAAAAATTCGTAATTTTTATTGTTCATATTTATTGAATTTTGACTTTTCCAATCGATAGAGCGGGTCTAAATTAGTCGAAAAAAACTCTAACATCATTACAAAATCTTGATTTCAACACAGAGAAAAATTAATTTTTAGGTTTATTTTTTTTTGAATCCTGACAAGGTTAGAAGCAATTGCCAATGCTTCTATCAAATTTTGATAAAATCAAAATAAATTATATATGGTTGGAAAGAGCATCAAATTCTCTATAAATCAGTGCTAGATTGAGTTTGATAGCTCAAATACTTTTTGAGTAATTGAGTCTCAAAGTTGGATTTTAGTTGAAATTTAGTCAAAAACTTCAAACTCGATTTTCTCAAGAACCGTAAATGCCAGCGACTTCAACTAAGTATCATTTTGAAGCCCTAATCAAGGGCTACAATCTCAAAAAAAATTGATCCAAAATCTTTGACAGGTTTTGAGAAAATTGAGTTTGAACATTTTGAAAAAAAAAATTCCAAGAAGGTACCTTAAAATCCAAAGGGGGTTTAACGGAACCCTTTGGAAAAAGTGAAATATTTGTTTTCCAGATTTTTTGAATTTTGACTTCCAATCGATAGAGCGGAACTAAATTAGTCGAAAAAAACTCTAATTTCATTTCCAAATCTCGATTTCAAAAAAGAAAAAAAATCAAAAAAAAAAATCTCAATTTTCAGGTTTAAATTTTTTTTTAAATTCTAATAAAAGCAATTGCCAATATTTCCATTAAAATTTGAGTAAATCAAAACAAATTATACATTGTTGGAAAGAGCATTAAATTTTCCATAAATCAATGCAAGATTGAGTTTCATAGCTCAAATACTTTTTTACAAAGTTGAATTTTAGTCGAAAAAGTATCAAAAACTTCAAACTAAATTTTTTTCAAAAACCGTAAATGCCAACGACTTCAACCAAGTACCATTTTAAAGCCCTCATCAAGGGCTACAATCTCAATAAAAGTTGATCCAAAATCTTCGACGGGTTTTGAGAAAATTGAGTTTGAACATTTTGAAATAAAAATTTAAAGGGGTATCTACCTTTTGGAAAAAAATTAAAAAACACAAAATTTTCATTTTTCAGATTTTTGCAATTTTGACTTTTCCAATCGATGGAGCGAGTTCAAATTAGTCGGAAAAAAATCTAACATCATTACCAAATCTTGATTTCAATACAGAGAAAAATTAAAAAGAAAATCTCAATTTTTAGGTTAAATTTTTTTTTAAATTCTAATAAAAGCAATTGCCAATACCTCCATTAAAATTTGCGCAAATCAAAATAAATTTGTATATATGGTTGGAAAGCAGGGCCGGATTTAGGCACAGGCAACCGAGGCAAACGCCTAGGGCGCCACGATTAGGGGCGCCAAATTGCTTCAATATTATTTTGAGTAAACAGAATAACTAAAACAAATGTCTTATGCCACAAGGATAATGGGGAGAAAATAAAAGTTCCAACAACATTGTGCGCTAATATTTTTAGTTAATTTACGTGTCACCTCACACCGCTCATCATGGCACCTTTGATCATCTTTGAATCAAGGAAGATTGAACGGACTTTCGCTGTAGGAATTGAAAATGTTTTAACCTTCTATTATTGAATACACTACATGGGTATAGTATGTTCAATAGTGTAGATTATAGGTCTGTTCTCACATAAATCACAAGCCAGTCAGAGCCTTTTTGATGGTTCAAATTGCCAACAGCCAGTTTTCTGACTATTTTCAACCAATGAAATTCGCTCTGACTGGTTTTTGATTTCTATGAGAACAGACCTATCAACGAACTTATCTCTGACTTTGCAAGA